GTGCTATTTTAACCATTTGTGGATGCCCCATTTTTTGTTACACCTAATAGGTTATATATAAAAAAAATTATTACAAATAGAAGATATACTTTATTCAAATAAAAAGACTTGGATTCTTTTTTCAAATGCCTATATTGCTTACATAATAATGTTAACAACTCTTATTATCATTGCTTCAACGGAAAGAAGTTTTTCAAAATTAAAATTGATAAAATCTTACCTAAGATCAACAACGTCTCAAGAGAGATTAAATGTATTAGCTATATCGTTAAGTGAGAAAGACTTATTGGGAGAAATTGATTATAAGAAAATTATTAATAAAAATCTAATAAAAAATAGACTTCAAATAAAAAAATAATACTTTTTTAAAATAACAAAAAGCTAAGGCTTCATTAAAGTTTGGCTTTAGGCTACAAAATTCTTTGGGCCACCCCTGTTCAAGAATTGATAATTCTAAGATTATAAAAAATTTGAAGAATTAACCCAAATAGCCGATCATCTAATTTCTTAAACTATAAATGGCCGGTGAATGTATAACATATATATATNCACTAGTGAGATCTGGGGAGAGTAGAATGTACGCAGACCTTACCCCTACTCCGAAAAGGGCAGAGAGGCTGTTTCCAGGAGACTCTCGGCTCAACAGGAGAGACAATAATATCATAAAAGAGACAAGAGAAAAGACATGTAGCAATAAAAGATACCAGAAAGAAAATAACCACAACAAATAAGTGAAAGGACAATAACACAAAACTATGCAAAACAACAATGTGAATACAACAAAGATCGCTAACAAACCTAAACGAAACTCTATCAGACTACCTGGTACAAGGAGGGAAGAACTCTCGACTATTCCCTAGCCTATACCGGTTAGAAAAAGTAAATATTGAATCTGGCCGGCTATTTGTGTAATTAATATTAGTTAATATTAAAACTTTGATATTGTATTTTTATTAGTATTAGCTAATACTATGATATTGCAAAAGGAAGATGGGATAAGTGGAGATATATTTATTAAAATATATGGTTGAATCATTGATGCTCTGGAGTACCGACAAGATAGTTATGCATTATTATTGTATCACCATATATCGTGGATATTTATTCTCTGCAAATAAATAATTCAACAAGGTAAGACAAAGAGGTGTTCAGTTCAGTTTACCATTTGTTTTTTGTTTTTAGTTGCTGCAACTAGTAAAACTTACCTGGACTTTTTCAGAATTTCAATATTTGTGGTGACTGTAACTGGTAAAGTGGCCACAACGAGATGTATTTGAGCTGCCATCATAATTTTAAAATAACAAATTTTTGGAACTATTGTAGATACATAATTATTTCACCTAAGCTTAAGCTTTATCTACTGTATTCAAAACTATAAAATTAGCAGACTTTTTGACCATCTGCTGTATAAATTTTTTTAAACCATTTCCTTGGTAAAAACTAACATATGTTATCCTATTTGCACATTAATCTGCTGGATGACCTAAAATGAAAATTCATAACAAAGGTTCTATCAAGTATTTATAGAACAAATCTTTCAACTAACAGGAGGGTAAACTAGTTAACCTTTTTAATAAAGTACTAACAAAATGAATTCACAAACACATGAAATAAAAAACACAAAGAACAAACAAGCAAATCTAACAACTACTTAAAGTGGAGACCTCCTGTTAAATTGTTTTGAATGAATTAAAATACTTGATACAACTAGATAAATCTTTATATTATGAGATCTTGGTAGCACTCGCTCATAGAAAAAGATATAAATACAAAGAGAATAAAAGCATCAAGTTGCTAAATTTGGTAGCTACAGATTATGGAATGAGTTTTTCATATTTTTCAACACTTTGGTGGGCTTGTATTTAACTTTCATGAATAGCACAACTTGTTAGTTCACCATCAATTTATGCCAAGAGAGTTCTCTGTAGTGTCTACTAACAACAAATAATATCGAATATTGGGACGCCGACCCAAACTCAATTCTGCTAAACTATACTACAATCTCTCCAACTATCAGAAAATATTCAAAAAGTAGAATGGAGAAAAGCTATATCTAAATGTAATTTTTTTTTTGTGAGGCATATATTTTGATGTCAAATTATCAATTGTCAAATACACTTCTTGATTTCAACAGCATAAACAATTCAACTCTATGTCGCAGTTTCAAAATACAAGAAGTTCTCCAGATACATACTCTTCTTCATACTTGCCTTACTTATTTTGGGTGAAATACACATAAATTTTGGGAAAAAATATGCATAAACTTTAAGACCGCATTTCAAAAACCAATTTATTGCGCTTTGTCTCATTGTAACAAAGACAGAGGCTTTTGATTGTAAACCACGGGTATTAATAAAAGCGAACAAAAAATCACTAATATTAGCACCAGATCCAATTTCACACTGAAGATGACAAATATAGAGCAGCTACCCCAATAATTTATTTCCAATTGTCTTTTAATTACAAAATAAATAAGTATATAAAATGAATCTTGCCTAGTGTAAAGGGAGATGAGATTTAGATAGCTTCAAACTGGAGAGGCCTTAAAAAGCTCTCTGTCGATGAATGAGAGCAAATAACAACAACAACAACCCAGTATAATCCCACTTAGTGAGGTCTAGGGAGGGTAGTGTGTACGCAGACCTTACCCCTACCCTGAGGTAGAAAGGTTGTTTCCAAATAGAAACCCGGTATACTTCCCTCCAAGAACTTCCCACCTTGCTCTTGGGGAGACTCGAACTCACAACCTCTTGGTTGAAAGTGGAGGTTGCTTACCATTAGAGCAACCCCTCTTGTCTTATGAGAGCAAATAAGTAAGAAGAAAAATTAGTTTTGAAGAAAGAGAGAGATAGAGGGAGAAGAACCTCTTAATCTCTTGGTTTCCCGTGAGCCTTTTCTGGTGGTAATCGATCTTTAGTGTCACGATACATCATTGCCAAAGATGTCTCTGTTGCAACGGTTCAGGGCACCGTCACGATACATCAATCTACATGGACGGTTTAATCCCTAATGCAATGGTTTATTCTGCTACCTATCTCAGTGGGTCTGAGAGGAACATGCGACCGTTGTAACTGTTGCCATATCTATTTTATTGCAACGTTTATATAACCGTTGCTAAATAACTGTTGCGATAGGTCTATTTTTTAGTAGTGAATCAAACACTATCATGGAACAATGAACATTTTATTCTTGGTGTGATTCAACAACAAGTCTCTCCCTACACTTAAAAAAAGGTTAGAATTAGCTACGAACTTGATTGCTAATATATCATTAAATTATTTGTAGTTAATAAATATTTTTGATAATTATTGATAATATTCGACGGAATTTTCTGTTAAGTTAATTCATGTTTTTTTTTTACATAGTAATATTATTATGCACACGCTTGTACAATATCTACAGAGCTAGAGATTGTTGTGACAAATAACCTTAAACAAATGCCAAATATATATCATGTCACTTATCGGACTTTGTTACGGGTCAATTTGTTCAGCAATTGGAAGATGAAGGATAAATAACATATGCTAAAGTGATAAAGAGAAAACTCAATATGATGAGAAAACTCAATATGATGACGTCTTTCATAAAGATTATTTTAGCTCGCAAAAGAAACTATTTATATTTGATAGCTATAAAAGTATATAAAATTTATATTTTTTTTATACATAACATATATATATATATATTGAAAAGCATCTATACAATATAATTTTTTCAATCTTAATTATATCGCGAACTTTTTGTTATTTCCACCAACCCCCAACAACCTCCTTTATGTTAAAGAGTAATCACTGTCACCTACCTCATTTGGAATAGGAACCAAATGCTACAAAATATACGGCCGTTTGATTTGTAAAGTTACTAATTTAAAAAGTGTTAAAGAGTAAAGAGTAATAATGAAAAAGTTATTATGCGGTGATGGACAATTAAAAAATATATATATGAGAGTTATTTACTTCAAAAATATTTTTTTATATAAATAGTTCAATTATCATATTGTCAATGCATGTATTTTTATTTCACATTAAATCTTGCATAAAATAATGCATAAGTATTTGTTCAATCAAATACTGCATTAGTTATAAATTATTTTTTTCTCGTGTGATCAAAGAAATACTACATAAGTTAGCAAATCAGCAAATGTAGCTTGACATCGCTTCGTCATGCCTTGCGTCAACCTCTAAATGCACGGGCCGATAGAGTATCGAAAAACCAGATTCTCATGAATTTCATGTAACCTAACGAATAATATATATTAGAGATATTAATTACTCTAGTTGAGTATATGTTTTAATCATATTAGTAAATTTTTTAGTTCTATCAAAGATTTTTATGCTAATAGAAAATTTAAAAAAATTGTGTGCATTTATTTTATTTTATATAATATTGGCATGAAATTGACCAAACTAATTTAGGAGTGTGGCATACGTGTTGTGAACTGTGATTATACAATAGTCAAACAAAGTAGTTGAGGGAAGGTTTAAAGTAGTCCCTTAAATATGCACCGAGCAATTTTGATCCTTTAATTTTATCAAAGTTAATATTTTTGGTCTATGTTAAATATTTTAACAATTTATGTTCATTATATTTGACATAAACTATAGAAAAAAACATTTAACTATAAATACCAAGAAAGTCCCATCAAATCCTAAATACTACAATACAAAATTGCACTAAACACACAAAAGAAAGTACTAAAAATAATAGAAGTTACAAAAAAAAATTGCACCAAATTGTAGAAATACATCAAAAACAGCAAAAATTATACCTCTAAATATGAATTTCAGCTAATCTTCTCTATTTTTTCACAGTTCCCATCAAATCTAACAAATAAAGTTAGTTCCTTAAATAATTAAGGAGACCAAAACTGTTAAGTTTTGGCAAACGTAAAGGATCAAAACTATTCATTGTATACTTGATGGACTGGTTTGAACCTAGACTCAAACATTAGGGACCATTTTTCTCATTTTCTCTACTTAATACCATCAACCAAAGTAGTAGTGGAGGAGAGAGACTCTTAGCACGAAGGAACAGGGACTAATTTGGAATGGAGGGTTCTAATGGAGGAGGAGTGGTGAAGCACATATTGCTGGCCAAGTTCAAAGATGGAATTCCAGCAGACCAAATCAACCAACTGATTAAGCAATATGCTAATCTTGTCAATCTCATTGAACCCATGAAATCTTTTCATTGGTATTTTATTCTCTCCTCTATAAAATTTTCAACATTTCTGCTCAACCCCTTTTCCCCTTTTTGCCTTATTTGTGGATGATTTCTCATTTTCTAGTTTAGTATACAACATTGGAGCAACCCCTCTTTATATGTGTGTGTGTGTGTTGACATTCTTGATTCTTATCATTGAAAAATTAAAACTTTGACATTCTTGGTTTTCATTAGGGTAATGATTTTGGTAAGTTAAAGGTCAATGTTATAAAGAAATTTTTTTAAGATATATGTTGACAGGAGGGTATGAAGGTCGAAGATTAGGGTAGAAGGGTAATATGTCGTCCTGTGTTTTTCTGATCTGTTCCAAGTTTATTAAGGCCAGTTGACTAGTACATTGTCTTCGATTCTTAGAATGCCAGTATTAGGGTTGTTTTAGTACTATCTTCCGCTTCGGTTTTCTAGTACCATGTCGTGTTACTGCTTGTGACTATTGCTTTTGCTTTTGCTATTGCTATTATTTTTGCTATTGCTATTGCTACTGCTTTCTTCCATTTATTTTTTCTCCGGTTCTTACATTGTTGATATCATTTTCTTGGTCTTTTTTTTGTTATTTACTTGTTCTGATTCTTTCTCTCGAGCCGAGGGTCTTTTGGAAACAGCCTCTCTGCCCTCCAGGATGGGGGTAAGGTGTGCGTATACATTACCCTCCCTAGACCCCACTTGTGGGATCCCACTGGGTTGTTATTGTTGTTGTTGTTTTGAACTTAGCTGATTGGGATTTAGATCATAAAATAAAATTTACAATTTATCTATCAAGTGTTGGAGAGCAAATATATGCTAGTTATTAGGTTATCACTTGTTAGATGGAGCGTTAACCGGAGATGTCATGGTAGTAAAATGCTACTTCTAAAGTGTTTGTTAAGGTCACCTACCATTCAAGAAGTAATGATCTCCATGTCGACAAATTTGAATAGAAGAGAATGACCCTACAAAGATCGCCATTATTTACACATCTGGATATCACAATATTTTGTCAGGAGAGAATAAGGTTTTGTGACGGAGCGTTGAGAATCAAAACTGAACTTCAGAATATGTAACCCGCCCACCCCTGTTCTGCCCGTCTCTTCCTCGGCTCTGCCCAGTCCCGAAAGCTGCCTCGCCTACCTAACAGGAGTGGATGTAGTGTGTTAGTTATGGGGTCAATTGAACCCATAACTTTCGCCGCGGAGTAAAAATTTATGTATAAAAATTCATTATAGTTGCAAATATAGTAGATATGAACTCATAACTTTAAAAATATAATGGGTTCAATATTAAAAATCTTAGAAGTTTAGCCCATAAAGATTAAATCCTAAATCCGCCTCTGCTGCCTGGTTGCCACTCCTAGCCAAGAATGTTCAGCTTTTACTTGTCTTGATGGGCTTTGCTCGCTTTCCACGGAAGTTATGACACTAAAGTTCCACTTATAAACTCCCATGGTTTTGGTCTAATGGTAAGAGCACAACTCATGATATCTGGGTTAGGTGCACATCACGAGTTCGAACCCGGCCTCAGATAAAAACCTAGTATTGAGGACCATTATTAGTTGCGCCTCATCCAAAAATTGCACATATAAACTCTGAACTTTAAGAGATTATCCTGCTGAATCAAACTCAACTTTGATTGATATTTGCTTAGTGGAAAAGAATGTGGAGGTAATATTTTGGCTTGCTTCTGGTGGCAAAGCTCTAAGGCTTTATATCTAGGAACTTTGGGCAAAAAGGATATTGTGAGGTATTAGAATGCTAGCCTTGAGACACTTTGATAATGAGTCCTGCGAGTTCTCATGATCAAAACTGAGTTGGATTTTAGTTCTGTTTCTTGAAGTTCATACAAGTATTGAAATGTAACTAGTGTGTCACTATTGCAGGGGTGAGAATGTGAGCATAGAGAACTTCCACCAAGGTTTCACTCATGTTTTTGAGTCAACGTTCGACAGTACAGATGGTATTGCAGAGTATATAGATCATCCGGCTCATGTTGAATATGCAAATACATTGCTTCCTCAGCTGGAGAAAGTCCTTGTCATCGACTACAAACCAGAGAAAGTCAGTCCCTGAACTGGATTCACCAATGGATGCACTTAGTGAAAGGCATATCAGTTTTACTTTGCTATGCTGAAATCCAATAAGAATGACAAACTTTTCTAAAGGGTCTGTGTCTTGCTTGTTTGAAACTATTGTATTACTTGTTAGCTGCTAAAAATAGTAACTTATGGTCAGCTTGAACTGTTTAAACTTATATTGTTATTACAATCTCGAGGGAGAATGCTCCTCTTTCTTCTCTTCCCCCCCCCCCCCCCCCC